ATAATAAGTATACCATTAGATACAGTTATGTATATAATGGTAGAGCCACACCTATTTCATATTACAGATGAACACAACTATTCATGCAACACCAATATGGACCTTTGTTTTTACAGTAAGGATATGATCTCATATTCTTTGAGTGTAAACTCATGGATCAAATAGAAAATATGACAGCAAAGAGTGAACTTTACAGACTTAAAAGTGGAATATCATGTCACTTTGTGTCCTCATTTATCTGAATATTCTTAAATTTAAATAATTACTAGTACATGTACACTAATTCTATAGTCATTTTAGAATTCATCAAAACAGCAGACAAACGTAAATGCAATGCTACAGCACTGAGGGGTCAACTTCAAAAAATGTTTTTTTTTGTAATTTTGCAACTTACAAATATTAGATTCAATCTCTTGTGCCTTCTGTTCTCTCGTAGACTTGTCAAACCTCTGGTCTGATGTCAGTTCATCTTTTTTATATCTCAACATTAAATTACCACTTTGTAAATCAATTCTCAATGCAGAACTATCTTGTCCGAGCATTTCAATAAATGCCACACAGGCAGCACTGATTGAATGCTGTGTGAGTTCTTGTAGTGCTATGGTGTACACTCTGTAGTACGCTTGTTTGGTTCTGTAGGAAAATACAATATTCACTGAAAATTAATTTATAACTGTTTTGAATCTTCAGAAGGATTTTTAATTCATAGGGTTAATGTCTTTTACTGTGATCTTAAATAGATTTAAGTTTGAATAATTTTGTCATGTTATGACATGAAATTTTCCCCGTCAGCCATTGTAAAATTAGAACTTGAAATAAATGTCAATATGTGACATGATGTAACGTTTGATTGCAATCAGTCAAGACATGTCAGAGATAAGGCCTTGGAACAGCATTTATAAAACAACATGATGTGCACGAAGGTACCATTATGTTTAATGTATATACCATGCACATCTGGGATCTTGTTCCGGAATGGCTGAAATGCTTGATTTTGAGTAATTTTTAACATTAAAATGACTACTATTTGTTCAAGGCATGTCAGAGATATGGCTCCAGAACATCAGATGTCCTGTAAACACCCTGTGATGTCCTGTAAACATCCTGGTGATGTCCTGTAAATACCCTGGGATGTCCTGTACACACCCTGGGATGTCCTGTACACACCCTGGGATGTCCTGTAAACACCCTGGGATGTCCTGTAAACACCCTGGGATGTCCTGTAAACACCCTGGGATGTCCTGTAAACACCCTGGGATGTCATGTAAACACCCCGGGATGTCCTGTAAACACCCCGGGATGTCCTGTAAACACCCCGGGATGTCCTGTAAACACCCCAGGATGTCCTGTAAACACCCCGGGATGTCCTGTAAACACCCCCGGATGTCCTGTAAACACCCTGGAATGTCCTGTAAACACCCTGGGATGTCCTGTAAACACCCTGGGGTGTCCTGTAAACACCCTGTGATGTCCTGTAAACAACCTGGAATGTCCTGTAAACACCCTGTGATGTCCTGTAAACAATCTGGAATGTCCTGTAAACACCCTGTGATGTCCTGTAAACAATCTGGAATGTTCTGTAAACAATCTGGAATGTCCTGTAAACACCCTGGGATGTCCTGTAAACACCCTGTGATGTCCTGTAAACACCCTGTGATGTCCTGTAAACAACCTGGAATGTCCTGTAAACACCCTAGGATGTCCTGTAAACACCCTGTGATGTCCTGTAAACAACCTGGAATGTCCTGTAAACACCCTGTGATGTCCTGTAAGCACCCTGGGATGTCCTGTAAGCACCCTGGGATGTCCTGTAAACACCCTGGGATGTCCTGTAAACACCCTGGGATGTCCTGTAAATACTGCAAGCTTCCTGTAGTACACTGCAGGTGTATGTGTTGTCCTGTACAAACACCATGTGTTTCCTGTAAACACTCAGTAACGCCCTATAAACACAGCATAGACACTGCAACACCTGTAAGCACCCTGTGATGTCCTGTAAGCACCCTGTGATGTCCTGTAAGCACCCTGTGATGTCCTGTAAACACCCTGTGATGTCCTGTAAGCACCCTGTGATGTCCTGTAAGCACCCTGTGATGTCCTGTAAGCACCCTGTGATGTCCTGTAAGCAACCTGTGATGTCCTGTAAGCAACCTGTGATGTCCTGTAAACACATTGTAAACACCGAATACCAGGCGAGTGTAATGAAAACACATTGTAAATGCTGTCAAACTGCAGAGTCAACAAAGTACCCTGAAACTAGCATTCAAGTGTCCTGAGAACACATGTGATGCTCTGTATGCACATTGTAAACACCGAATACCAGGCGAGTGTAATGAAAACACATTGTAAATGCTGTCAGAGTCAACAAAGTACCCTGAAACTAGCATTCAAGTGTCCTGAGAACACATGTGATGCTCTGTACTCTAGGCCTCTAACTAGATGTACATGGAAATTAATCATGCCTTTTAACATATTTACATATGCTCTTATTAGATTAAACAATTACACAATTACAGTAAAACAAACAAATTACCTTTTTTTGAGTACTGCTGGATCGGTATCTTGAAGATTCTTAACAAATGCCACAAATGCAAATGAGGGTCTGGCTTTCCTCAGGTAATAAGTGTATCGAAGGACTTCCTTGTGTGCATATTGATTTACCAAGTCTGGCTGTGAGAAATGTGGCAATTCGGTGGCTTTATCTGTTAACATAAATCCGGTATATACCCGGGAGTCAAACTTTAGATTTCACACCTGAATCTCATCATACTATGGTAGGACAATGTGTTGGTAATTGCGAAAAAAATCTAATGTGAAATCAATATTACCTGTGAGTGGTGTAGAAATGTTGTTTGTTGACTGCCATCTGAATAACTTGGATATATCAAATTGTGTGTTACCCTGAAAATAAAGACAGTCTTTGGTTATTTGTATAAAAGTATGCAAATTTTTTTGTTCAAGAAAATCTTATATAGCTTTTCTTTATCAAGACATGTGTTACTATTTCGAGAAATTTGCATTGCAGTTTACCACGATAGCAATGAAAATTTCAATTAAAGAATTGAAGATATCATCACAAAATGAACAAATCTGAGACAGGCCACCCTGTAGTACCCTTTATGTATAATATCAATCAGACTTGTGGTTTTTAATTACAGAATTGAAGATATCGTCATGAAATTAACAAATCTGAGAAAGATCCACTAGTACATGTGGTACCTATATGTGTAACATCAAAGCAATCAAACTTGCAGTTTTTAACAAAAATATTCATCAAAATTAGAGAATTAAAGATATCATCATGAAATCTAAGTGAGGTCTACCCAAGGTACATATACATGTACCAAGTACATTGTATCAAAGCAATCAAGCTTGTACATGTAGTTTTCAATAAGAAGTCAAAAAAGTAAAAAGTTGACACGGGCCGCAACAGACAACAGAGAATCACTCATATGAGAAACTCTGCTCAAGTAGAAAGAGGAGCTAAAAACAAATATTGCATTACATGAAGCAGACAGTTTACTAACCTGTAAAAGCTGATACATAGTGATATCTTGGGGTGTAATACCATCTGCTGTCTGTACAGGAAATAAAGCAGCTTGTAGTTTAGGGTATGACTGTAGAGATTGCTTCAACAAATTACCATCAACTTTCCAGAGTCTTTCATCTTCATTTTCAGCTGAACCAATCACCTGATATTCATACATAATGAAACATGTCAATGACATAGATGTTTGTTCAGCCAAATACAAACAGGGACTAAGTATAAGGGGGAAGTGTGTTAATTATTTAAGCAACCAAAAATGGCCACCAGTCAACCATTTTGATTGAAGTGAATCAGTAACCAACCAAGTGTGATGCATAATTTATGGTTGACGACGTGCAAAAATTTGGTGATTTCAGTTTTTTTGGAATGAAAATGGTCACCAGTCAGTTAAATATCTTCAAGTCAGTCATTTGGACTGAAGTTGTGAAACAATTAAATTGATGTGCATCAGTAACTGACAATGGGGCAATACAAAGTGAGTGGATAAAATCAGCCCAGGCATGCCAGAAAGAGTTAATGACATAATATTAGGTAGTATAAAAAAACTATAATATAAAATTAATAAAATTCTGCAATTTGATTTTTTTTTGACAAAATTGGCCTTCAAATATCTTCAAAATCCAAAAAAAGCTGTAATATGCAAACCACTGTGGCTTGTAAATGATGTGCTACAGTGACTACCCAGAGTAAAGTCAATACCTACTTTGAAGAAAATCAATTCAGGCCTGTCCGAGAAAGAATAGTGAACAGATGGTAACATGCATACACACGTATATAGAACACAAACAAATTCCCAAGTCAGATTACATGTGTATGTTCAACAGCTTTTAAATCATGATGACAACCAAGAGCAAAACATTGAAGCCGTGTATGCGTTTCTCATAAACTGTTATTAACTGAATTTTAAAATAAATAATATATACTGTGACATAAGACAATGAGTGCTATGAGTGTTCAGTTTTAGGTGACACATGGCCATATATGCAAGTTATTAATACAAAAGATCAGAATTGTACTCAAGATGTATGCGATACAGGAATGAAACTTGTTGGATATGCAACAAAGATGATTTCAAAATTGCTAGACAAATTTCTAGAAATATTAAATGCAAATCAGACAGTCTGCGAAAAAAACAGTTTGAGTTCATCTCAGTTTTCTTCCTTGCATATTTGAGCAGTGAGTGTTTTTTTTATTGATAAGCTCACTCATTAAACATTTCCGTAAGTCAGCATTTCCAAGACATGGAGCAAGCTGGACTGCAATTGGACAAAACAAGTTTTACCTGGTTGATGGTACAGTGATTAGTTAGCGTGTTCACTTTGATTCCCCAAGCCAACTGTTTACTCAGCAGTATAAATCAAAGTTGGACTGACATATAAATAAAACATGTGCGAAATCAGATCTTTAATACCTATCACCATATAACTTAAAAACCCTTATCTTAAACAATTGATGATACTTGTAGAACAGCATACCACTTTGAAAAGCCATGTCAGATGTGGGCACAACACTAGTAAAAATTCATTTACCTCATTCAGATTACAGGGTGCAAACATCAGTGTTGCCATGGCAGCAATAGGTCTATCAGCCTCCAAAAGACTTGTCACTGTGGGTTGGTTGACTTTAAAGAGGAATCTACAATTGGCTAAACTTGCTTGGAACATTATGTTGGGATCTAATAACGAACAAAGAAATTGTACAATTATATTCACTAAATCAAACTGACAATATTTAAATTGTTTATTTAAGCAATATCCCCGGCCGAAGGCGGGTATACCACGAGATATTGCACAATTCACGACATATATGCACGAGCCGCAGGCGAGTGCATATATGGAGTGAATTGTGCAATATCAAGTGGTATACCCAACTTCGGCGGGGGTTATTGCTATTATATTATACAGTATATTGACAATTCGATAAAACTGGTAAAAAAAGAGTTTACTTTCATCTACTAAAAGATCATGATTATGGCCTTTGAACATGAATATTTATAAGAATAGTATATAGTTGTACGCTGAATGCATACAAAAATTACTTGCGCAACACAGTTCAAATTGAATACAAACTAATTTTTATTCCACATGAAAAAGAAACATATCCACGTTGAATAGAACAGCGTAAACACACAACATAACAAAGGATGACCTTTCTGACCTTTTACTGACGCACAACGCGATTTGAAATACAGGGTCGTGTACAGTTTGGATCATTTAAACAACGGATTTTCCACGTTTTCATTCCGGTTTTTGTACAATTTGGACTGTAATTTGCCCATTGAAAGTACAGTTGTGAAATAAACCGGTTTTGTGACTCATCATACTACTTGTAACTGTGGATATTTGATGGTCAGCAGTACTTGGTTCAACTGAAATTTGAGACGTGGCGGGACGCGGTGTATCATGTACGGCGACC